GCTTCTAGATATGCACTCAGACGTATATCGTTTGACCATATGAAACCTACCACGATCCGAAGAACATGCATAGACCTAGTATTTGCAAATTGCCCACTGCAACCCATACAGGAACCGCTCTCCCTTCATTTCACAGACCATAAAGCCGTCATAATGAAGGGACATCGCAAGCCATCCATCGTCTAAGAACAAATAAAAGTTGATTTGTGTATATACACACACAGCGTTTCTCACGTCTTTACATGATGATCGACTGGGCGAATTACACGGAAGATTCATAGTTTACCGATGAATCCCTCCGGAGCTTCGCCCATTCATCATCATTCACCCCGTGAATATGCCGTAATTTTTTTTGTACGTTTTTCGGTATTATATGAAGAAATGTATTCATCCGCCGCATTTGCTGCCGTAGAGAGTGCATTACATACTGATAATGAATCTGTAATAATCACTACTGATGATCCGCTCAAGGAAAATTTGCGTAGGGCCAGAACAAAAGCCAATAATTTTGCGTCAATAGAGGGCAATTTCTATAACTACATCGTTTTTTGCTCTATTTCACTATTTTTCTTTCTTTAAACTCTTAATTCGCCGGTATATCTATAAACGCTTTCATGTCAGTGAAATTTCAGTCGGAATAAGTTGTCGCTTCTCCAGTGCATTTCCTTTCTGTGGCCGTTTTTTTTTTTTCCTTTCGCGTTTTTAATCTTAAGAAATTCGGTTGACTTGTTTTTTTGTTTACTTGAACTCTACTCGTCAGGACTTATTATATGAATGCGCTAGTAAACGCAGAGAACCATGCTAAATTCACCTTGTGAAAACCTTTAAAAAACAGGCAACACTCACAAGAAAAATTATTTTTGCCACCTTTTATTAAATATTCCTGTTACCTTTGCCGTCTACATGCTACTAGGAAAAACACGTGTTCACAAACACAGATTAGAAATGTGTTCTGGACACGATTCAGTTATGTCTATCATGCATTTTTGCAAGGCTATTTGAACTGGGTTAATTAGTTATTTGGCAGGACATGGGAGAGACCTTTTACCCTGCAGTGGGTGTAGTCGGGCGGATGATTATGATAATGATAATGATGATGATGATGACTTGAACACCAAGTGTATCAGTGGTCCAGCTGTCACTTGAAGAGTCTTAAAAATGAAAAGAAGCTTCGCATCCGTTTCAACAGGCGTCCTGGAAGCACTAGACACAGTCAAACTATTACATGGCGTAGGACAACTAATGGACTGCCGTTCGCACTGCTAGAAAAAAAACTTTTTTAACACTGCCCTGCTCTAACTACTCACTCATAATCCTCGGCATGCAGCCTTGGCGTGTTTTAAATTCCCGTGAGACTCGCTGTATCAGTCTAACGAATGCAAAAGGTGCAACAGTCTCGGATGCCGAGTGTGCCAATATCTTCAAATTGTCAGTCAAGATCTTTATTAAATGGTCCTGAGGAGTTTAAGCCACCAGGGTGTCCACGAGATATTCCCAGCAGCCGCTACTGCAGGCGACGCCCGAGTCGGGGCGAGAACGTGGTGGCGTTCCACCAGTTCTAGAGCCCTCTGGACTGCCTTTTGTTAGTTTCGGAGATTGGGGCTCCTGAGTGCCTCTTCCCAGTCGGACTCACTGGTGAGAGGTCCTCTAGGTAACGCGGGACATTGCCAGAGCAATGTCTTCGAGTTAACAATACACTTCTGAGCAGTCTGGGCATTATGAATCTATGTCCGAGTAGTAACGGCTGAGTCGGCCCCGTGATGGGTACGATCTCGTTTGTCGCATGCGAAAGGCTACCTCTTGCGCACGTTCGAGATTTGCATGTGGTAAAGGGTATTGGCTGCTGTCGTTTCGGTAGCCGGAAGTAATTTCGCGGAAGGTGAGTAAAGGGTCATTAAACTGTACGTCTGGGCCCAGCTCTTTGGTGGCTGATTGATCGTCGCAACTGGTCAGTTCTGGCGCTCGATCATGAGCCACTTCGTTGAGGTTGGGTTGCTGTGGGTGGACATCTTTGCCCCTGTGGCCAGAGAACCAAGAGAGGTAGTGCAAGCCCGTGTATTTCGCGTGTTTGTAGAATGTGGGCTGCTTCTCGAGCGATGTTGCCGGTTTTATAAGCCCGAATGGCGGCGCGAGAATCTGTGAAGAAATGGGTGTGTGAGGGGTCGATCATCGCTAAAGCTATAGCAACCTGCTCGGCGCTCGTTCGTAGCAAAACCGAGGCGGCTAAGCGTAGGGCTCCGTCGCCATCTACTATCGCGAGTGCACAGGTGGAGGAGCGCCGCATCGACGAAGACGGTAGAGTTGCGATTCGCAGTGGTACGGTCGAGGATCGCATGAGCGCGTGCCTTTGTTGTGTTGCGCGTGAACATTTCGCAGAAAAGGGGTTACCATGTAGGTAACGAATATGCTAGCACCCCTTATGTAGTACCCCAAAAGGAGACTTTAAAGCAAAAAAAATCAAAATGAAAAGAATTTCTGCCGGGCAGAGATTCCTAAAAAGGTGCAGGAGTTGTTTGGCGTTCCAGGCACACCAGACGTCGATCCGAGGAAAGCTGTGCACAGCGTGGCACACGCCACGACACAAAACCGAAACGTGCTAATCGTCTGAAATGCGCGATGCAAAATCATTTCAGTATCGACACAACGGCTCAGACAATGGATTTAGGAACGTCTACTCTAGGTTCAGACACTGGAAAATCACCACCCGCATTCTACTAATTCTTATTGCAGAAGCGTTATTCCACGTCTAGCGCACACTTTCGGCACCTAGCGAATAGCTGCTAGACTACAATTACTACTTTTTAGTTTAGCCGACAGATGGCAGCACCACACCATTAACAAGCTTTGGAATAATTTTTTGGACTTCCGACCCCGGCATACCGCACCCACCCTCGGCTATGCGTATGGACCCGCTCCTAACATGGACAGATATTCCAGAACATCAAATACTCGAAAGACGGAGACTTCCGCCCCTGGGGCCAAAGCTCAGTAAAGAATCTCAAGTAGCGTGGCGTCGCCAGCGCAAGGAACCCACTCACTGACACTCCTTCCTCAGTCGCAAATAGATGTTTCATTCTCTCTCTTTGGTATGGGACGTTTCACGGTTTTACATAATTTACTCATAAAACGCAGAACACAAACAAACATGAAAAGATGGAAGGTAGTGCACACCAGCTCGGCTCCGAACACCTAAGAGGCCCTCACGAAACCTATCAGGACTGTGTCCCGTGGGTTGGACTCCCGCGCTTTATTCCGTGCCGACCGCTTACTCTCCCTCATGATACATAATGTAAAAATAACAAAGCAGTACGGACACGGTGGCGCGCCCAAGCACCAGGCGCGTTCTAGTCGAATAATACCCCGTGCTGGAGGCCCAGATCTAGCAACCGTTCAGTGTATAAAAGTTCGTAGGAGAGTTCATGCAATTCCTCCAAATCATATGGTGGAACAGCCCCATCAACTTGAGGAGCCAAATTTAGGCATAGCACTGCGCCGTACCACAACTGATGAGAAAACAAATTGGAAGACAGCTGATGGGGGGTGGGGATTCTTGAAAGAGAGAAAAGAAGAAAAAAAAGGGGGAGCCCCGTAACTGTCTCAACACCTCAACAGTGGCTCACGAGGGGTTGGGGTAATGAGGGATTGAACGGATAGGGAGGAATAAAGGTATAGAGGTAGAGAGAGGCACAGCGACAGAGACCACATACGGAAATAAGGAGAAGATAGGAAAGAGGGACACGGTCGCAGGAGTCCGAGGACGGGGCACCACTCGGCGAGAGCTCTTGTCGGCGACAGAAGATGGCATAGAGCGAGCCAGTCGGCCAGAGCTGCGCTGTCGTCGAAGATCGCGGGGCACAACCGGTCGGCACGCAATCCATCGAGCGAGTCTTGAGACAACTAATTCAACACATGGTGCGCATTTATTCGTCCATAAATTCCGTAGGGGCGCAGCGAGAAATTTATTTGGAAGAAAGAGGGGTTCACCAACCAAGCGGCCGTGCTTTTTTTTTTTGCATGTTCCTGCAGTCGTTTCTATTTGTGCAAGCAAAACTGAAAAATTTCAGAGGGTTTTCATCCCTCCTACCCCACCCCCGCCCCCCACCTTAGCTACGCCATTGATGACAGGGGTGCTGGCTGGCTCGGTGAAATATACGAACAGACTCTCCTGCCATGCTTGTCTGTATTCTTAATGAAACACTAGAAGCGATGTAATGAAAAAACAATGCAGTAACAAGAACGACGGTGAAGAGTACATCATTAAAAAAAACGCTAGCGTTTGAGCAGGCCGTACTGTCACTCCCTGAAGACGCTGAACGAGCCTCGATACGTAGGGCTTTAATACAAGAACTGGAGGATGAACACTGTTGGAAAGTTTATGCGCAATTGAGGCTACATTAACATTGCAGGCATTTCTGGAGAGTTGATGGGAAAACAGCGAACGCTGGAGCACCGTTGTTACTTTAGTGTTCACCCACATTCAAACATAACGGGCGCAATTACCGCACACGCCTTCCCTCTCTCCTCCGCCCCACCTAACCCCGGAATGCTGCTACAAAGCCTCCACACACGATTGGCTGGGCGCATGCTTACGTCATCAGTTGCTATGCGACGGCGGGACCGGACGGCCGAACAGCTGAGCTTTTGAAAGATTGCCCGCGCCTCTGTACGGCTGGAAGCAAAAGCGCGCGCCCGTATCCGTGCGCCTTCCGAGGTACCAGAGCCGATTTTCTGCAAAGATGCCTTGCATGTAACGAAAATTTGCTGTCTGGGCTAGCCAACTCGAACACCGGATATTGCAGATAAAGACAATGCACAGCGATCACATGGACTCGCCGGGTCTGTCGTTATGGGCAACGCGTGACGAAAATATGCAATACCCATTGCGCAGCCGATGACCAATGTTGAGTGTGCGCTCACTAGCGAAGCACTCCGATTTCTGAAGAACATTAGACAGCAGAACCGCCATCAAAATGCTCTACCAGCAAGAAAAAAGGCAAAAGTCATGATGAGGAACACGCTTTAATTATAAAAGCGACACGTTCGCGTGAGGTGAAGTTTGAGCTATTCACAGGCATATATGACAATGATTTACAACACAGATGACATAATTTAGGAGATCATGATATATAACTCGCCATGATGTAACGTCCGACGATGATATTTACAGGTCCAGCGTTCCAGTGGCACTCGAGTTAGGCTGGATGAGGGTGAGCCTTCAATGGTGATGACGCGGATGAAGTAGTTTGTTTGGCGTCTTACGTTGTTGCAGCAGAGTTACACTGCGCCTTTGATGAGCATGAGGGATGGGCTTGATGCAGTAGCCACAGGTTGGGTGATCGAAGAGAGATGGGAGCTTACTTCTTCGCCGCCGCCTTCTTTGGCGTTGCCTTCTTCGCAACCTTGGGCTTCTTGGGAGACTTCGCCTTCTTCGGGGACTTTGGCTTCTTCGCAACCTTAGGCTTGGCCGCGGCTGCCTTCTTAGGCTTCGCGGCCTTGGGCTTGGCGGCCTTCTTAGCGGGAGACTTGGCGGTCTTTGGCTTCGCCGCCTTCTTGGGCTTCGCAGCTCCTCCAGCAGCTTTCTTGGGTCCTCGCTTTGCACCCGCAGCTTTCTTGGGGGCGGTCGCCTTCTCGGCCAGGCGGAAGGAGCCAGCCGCGCCGGTACCCTTGGAATGCTTGAGCAGGCCAGTCTGGACGGCGCGCTTAAGAGCAAGCTTGAGATGAGTGTTCACTACCTTGCTGTCCTTGCCGACGTCGAAGTGGCTCATGATGTACTTGTGGATGGCCTGGCGGGAAGATCCACCGCGTTCTTTGAGGGCCTCGACAGACTTCTTGACCATCTCGGTGTACTTGGGGTGGTTGGCGGGCTTTTTGGCTTTCTTGGGACCTCCTGCAGACTTGCGGCCCTTTGCCTTGGGCGTCGCAGCAACGGCGGGCTTGGCCTCGGCGTCAGACATGGCGGGAACTGGAAGGGACTCCGTGGCGGGAACTTCACGAAAGAGAAAAGGGCGAGCGAGCGGAGGAGCACACGTCCGAACTGGCTGCGGGCCGAGAGAGCGAATGGCGCAGAAGGTGGAGAGCAGCCGGTTTTATACAGGGGGCGCGGACGTCACGGAAGGCTACAACAATATCTCGTGCTGGCGAGCGCCGCAAATGCCGCGGCTCGAGTTAGAGATTGTGTTTGTGGTGCTAAAAAAACGGTTGGTAGTTCATTTTAGCGACGCCGTGCTGTTATGAAAACTAAGCGTTGCTGTAGAGGGGTATCTGCACGAGCACTATGCAATTTTTTTCCGACGTGCGCAGCAGTGAAGCTTGCAAAACGAGAGTTTTTCGGCACGCCGGTGTAGACTTGATTCCCCCAATTCTGCGGTTCGAGCGTCGCTGTTCGCGCCCCGTCACATCGGGGCCGCTGACAAGTGTCTAGAAGTACGCACAAGTTATCGATGCTGACGCACGACTGTGAACGAACCGTCGTCACCGACACCAGCCAGCACAGCGGCGACCGGACTGCGGCAACTGCAGCACGTCCGACGCGCGGCACCCCGACTTCGCCATTTTGCGAGCGCGCCACATTACGGTCGCCATGGCAACGAGTGCCACAGCACAGTGCAGAGGAACACGAGGGGTGGAGGTCGCAACGCGGCTACATTGAAGCTTTATGGCTGTATCAAACAGTGCATGAATTTAGCCGCCTTCGTTTGAAGCATACGCTATACATCAAGTTTTTGCCGTACTTTCAAACGTTACAAGCATTTACTGGTTCACCTTGTGCCATGAGATCTTGCGATTCGGGAGGCAGACGTAACGTGGTACAGTTGGGACCTACCAGTGCTCTGCGATAAAATAGTTCGTAAACTGACCAGGTTTTGTTAAGAATTCGGCAAGAATATCGAGTTTCGAACACATTTCGTAGCATAAGAAGCCGTTTACAAGTTGAGTCAGGGCTATAACATAGGCTGCTTACACATGACAAATAAGTAAATCCGCTACTAGCAGACGACACACCATGTATTGACGTTCCAGACACGTTTTAGATACCAAAGTTGGAGAACATGGCGCGCTATTTGAATCTCTCGATAAATTAGTCTAGTTTGATAAGTATATGCCACGGTGCGCTGAGTATGTAACACACTGGTCGCAAATCGGCATTTCGGGGATGGGCATTAACAGCTGACCGAAGCGTGTGTATTTACTGGAGTACGTGATTTAGCGCAAAGACTCTTGTGAAGTGTTATTTTGAAATCACTCCAACGAAGTTGCAGTTCTGGGAATTGGCCTAACAACCCCTAAAAAATTGTAGCGACAACAGTTGTGCGTTCCTACCAGCACACTGTGATGGGTATTGCTGTTATTGTTTTCGTTCGTAAGTTCGCGCTATATTTCAATCGAATTTATTTTTAATTGACCCAGATAATCAAAGCACCACCGAAACTTAGAAACGACTTTATCATCATCAGGCCTCTCCCATGTTGTGCCAATCAACCTAGTTCTGTGTTTTCTGCTGACGCGTAATGCCTGAAACTTCTTAACTTCACCTGCCCCCTCCCCCCCCCCTAATTTTTTTATTATTTATTTATTTATTTATTTCCAGGTACTGTTGGCCGATTGGGCCGTTACAGGGGTGGGGTAGAAAACTGACATAACAACCGTCATGTCATGCGTAAAAAAGAAATGCATAGCCGATACAAAAGGAATACATCACTATACTACGTTGTACGACTTGCATGCTACATCACATACATCACAAACATCACTACATCACTACACATCACTACACATCACTACACATCATACATCTACACTACATCACTACACATCATACATCACTACATAACATTTTCTTTCCATCTTTCCCCATTTTCTTTCTCTCCCAATCTCCAGTTACCCTTAATGCCGAAACTGCTGGAACGTGTCGTTGGAGATTGTGTCCGAATGCCTTAATGGGTTATTAGCGTCACAAGTGGGGCGTTTGCAACGAGTGAGTAATGCTTAGACAGTGGGTCACAGTCAAGAAAATTTTCGCTCACAAACATAGCGTGTATTAGCACAGTACATAAAAGAACGGGACACGACACAGACGTAGATAGGTAGACACAGACTTAGAGATAGGAAGACAACATTCGCCCGATTTGGCTACAATCCAATTTTGGAAAATTAATTGAGAGATTATTACACGATCAGATAACTAATTTTGTTACTGTACATAAATAATTAAGTTCCCACCAAATTGGTTTTAGAACAAGAATGTCTATCTTGTGTGCACATGTCAATTTAGAGAGCAGAATCCAACTAGCACGGTGACAGAAAATATGCAGCATTAGTTACGTTATATATCTGTATAGCCTATGATATAATACCCAATTTAGGTTTTGGGACGTTAAACCCAACATATCAATCAATAATACCCAATTTTACTAGAAAGGATGAGAGGGATTGGGTTTGTGGGACGTTAAACCCAACATATTAATCAATAATACCCAATTTTACTAGAAAGGATGAGAGGGATTGGCTTGCATGATTATTTTATTGCGTGAACGACTGAGTCCTTGCTGTACAGGGAGTTTTATGCTGTGTACAGGGAGAGATATCAACAGAGAAATTCAGACAAACACGTGGTGTTTCCCAAGGAGCGGTTTTTTCCCCGCTACTATTTAATATCTTCCTTAGCTCCTTTCCTCGTCATCAAAGAGTGAATACGTACGTTTAAACGGATGATATAGCATTCATTGCTTCTGCGGATGACATTCAATCTCTTTATACCCTTTTAGAAGGATACTTACCTACCTTGGAAGCTTGGTTAGGCAGCATTTGTTTGACTCCTCCTAATGTACAGAAATCTGCACTTCTACCGGTCCCCGCAAGACAATATGAATATATCGCTCATATTCCACCAAGCACATATTCCCCAAATGCAAACACTCAAGTACCCCGGAATCATCTATGATAGAAAGCTGAACTGGGGAATGCATATTGAACATACACTGCAGTGACCAAAGAGTCACGTGTGATATGAGGTCAGCAATAGCCGTTGAGGCACGCGGACAGACGCATTGAAAATTAGTTAGCGGATTTACATACGCCCTATACTGTAGTTTGAGTGTGCCTTATTTCCTGGCGTACCAGCATGGAAGTTACGTCCGTTAGTTCCGACTTGAGCACGGAGCACTTCGCTGGTGCCTGGAGTTACCCGAATTCGTAGCAGACTGTTCTATACAAGGAATACCGAATCTTATGTGGTTATAAAAGGGAAAAGAAGAGAAAAGTGAGCCCCTAACTGTCTGCCTCTGGTGCGACACCTCAACAGTAGCTCACAAGGGATGGGGGTAAGGAGGGACTAAAAGGATAGGATTAAAAGTTATATATAGAGAGAGATAGAGGCGCAGGGACAGCGAGCCACGGAAGTAAAGAGAAGATAGGAGAGATGAAAGGTGTCACAGGAGTCCGAGGACGGGGCACCGCTGACGACAGCTCTTGTCGGCAACAGGAGATGTCGTAGGACCAACCCAGTCGGCCAGAGCTACGCTGTCGTCAGATATCGCGAGGGCACAACCAGCCGGCACGGAATCCAGCAAGCGAGTCCAATCCCTGCTTTGCCAGTTAGATTCAGATTAGTTGAAACATTTTTAAGTATATGAATCGCCGATAAAACGAGAAGAATGTATATTTATCAGTGATCCAGCTCAGTTTTTTTTTTTTAATGTAACACAGCCTCGCTTTCATACCCCTCAGGTCTCATACCCAGCTAGTATTGGATCCATTACAGATAAGGCTTAACAATATAGTGACTAATAGTGACAGGTTGTATGAAATAACTATATCATATGACGATATATTCCGTAAGAATGCGAAGTTACTGCCTAGTAATGTTATGAATGACATTTTTCAGGGTCACTTAAATCAGACTGCTTCGACTGTTCAGTCGCTGCCTGACGAAAAGGCCGGGGGGGGGGGGGGGGGGTCTTTTTTTATACACAAATAGACTGGTCATTTTCTGTGAGGCTTCCTGATTTTACACAAATATTTTTGGTCGAGTTCTTAGCTGTTATTCTAGCCCTACGTAAGATTCCTTCACCTGTAACATCTATGGCTATAATTATAGATTCATTGTCACTGTCGGCACAAACTGCTCCAACAGATTCCGATATTCTAAGGCAATTGTGATTACTTGTTCCTCACTGTCTCCGAAACCTGCAAATAATTTGGGTCAGACTGGGTTAATCATAAAATCGAGTCTGCATGATCTACACGAGTCCCGGTGGATCCTTCTTAGTCGGTAGGTGCCAAACTTCTAAGGAGCATCATCCTGCCTACGTGCTACTTCCCGGCCCATGTTCATTTCGTCTTCTTAAAATAGTATGGAAAATTGGGCGAGTTGGTTTGAGGACATTCTTGGTGACATTTCGGCACGCACACAGAGGACGAGAGCACGGAAGGCAAGAGGACAAACAAGCATGAAATCACAACTAAATTTATTGAAAGAAATGCACGAAAGTTATATCCCAGGGTAACTCAAAAGCGCATGTGCGTAAAAAACGAAAGAAAAGCAAACAGAACGATAACACACTATTGTGGTATAAGGCGTAAATGAAATCGGGCACCCCTGCTGTTATGAACTGGACACCTGCATTTAATCGGTCTTCTCATGCATTACAGCCTGAAACCGCTGCCCTTATGAACTGGTCCCCTGCATCTGATCGGTCATCTAGTGCGCCCCAATGGGACACATCAAGAGCGGATGGTCATGAAAGGGCAGACCCCGTATCATCTCCACCAGACGGCACGCAAGCTTTGACCAGTCCAGGATTTAATGCGCCTGCAAGGAAAAGCAAGCGTAAAAAGAAGACCCCAAAGAAATTGAAGGACTTCGTTAGGAAGTAGACAAAAACAGTTTTGTGTGTTTCTACCATTTATTTTTATTTTATTTTATTTTTTTTTTTTTTTTGCAAGAGGGGATATGTGGTATAAGGCGTCGCTACCGACTACAGCGCTGTGCGGTGGCACGCGCTCGGTGGCCGACACGGGGGAGAAGGAAGAAGATGAAATAAACAAGATGTCTCCGTTTATGCTGTGCTATTCATTATGCACGATGTAACAACTATGACTCTAATGTTTACATAAGTGGTATCTACAACGTGCAGCAGAATGTGAAAGTCAAGTATGGCTAAAAAGGTGAACTGCTTGTCAGTTGGCGCAATGGATGGGCTGCTTACGCATTTCTCAGCACACCGTCTGATATGAAACCCTTCTACTAATTCCCGAGTTAGCTTGTTTTTGTGATAGAATAAAACGATCGCCTCACGCCCAAAACGATAACATTGGCAGCTGTTGTAATGCTTGACTAGGGGGGAGTGAATGCTGTTTTCCAGAGTTTAAATGTTCATTAAGGCAAGGTTTTTTATTGCCGCTAACTTGCGGTCGTGTGTATCAGACTGGCCGGTGCATTAACACTCGCCTTAATTGCTGGCATGGTGTGTTATCGTTTTTTTCTTTCCTTTCGTTTTTTTCCGCACATGCACTCTTGAGTTACCCTGGGATGTATATTTCAGTGTATTTCTTTCAATAAACTGAGTTGTGAGTTGGCGCTTTTTCGTCCTCTTGCCTTCCGTTTCCCCGTCCAGTGTGTGCGCGCCGAAATGTCGCCAAGGATGCCTTCTTGAATTCAACTGTGATATCCTTAACCCCTGTCTGTTCCCTGCTCCCTTCTTGTTGGAGTTACACCAGTCATTTTCCTTTCCATCGCTCGCTGTATCGTGCTCAATTCAATTGAATCATCGTTCAGGTTTCTACTCCGTAACAGCTGAAATACACCACGCGAAACGGCTTTGCAGAATGCCGAAAACGTCATTTAAGTAATGGACACAACATCCAAAATCATCATCTGCTCTTTCTGACGGTGTTGTTAATCCGAATTCCGCGCACGCTGTGAACGCAGACTGTACGGTACTCCGCGGCACCTTGCGGTTAACTCCCGAGACTGCGACCAGTTTTTACAGTTTCGTCGACAGATAGCAGCACTATACCGTTCACACGTTTTGTAGACAAATTGTAAAAACAAAACAATACCGACAGGGCCGCCGCCAAGAATACACCAGTGGAAATGACCGAAGCTGGTGACCTAGATTCCCATGTATATAATAATTTTATTATCTACGCTGCAGAGCTGTAATGCCCTTCATTAGGCGCCCTCATCTCCTCAACTGCTCTCTATCACTTGATAACCGTTACCAGGAAAGTTTATTCCACCTCCAATAAATCATTAGTTGTACAACCTCATTTAGAAAAATTATAGCAAGCTGTACCGACCTACCGTTGCTGAAGAATTCTAACGGGCGAAATACACCCACTGCTGTCATATTTCCCCTACCCACACACACTGACCGAAACTAAATGCTGCGAAGCCTCGACACGATCAGATGTGCTCATACTTACGTCACCAGTTACTATGCAACGGCTGGGCCGAACAGCTGATCGTTTGAAAAGGTGCGCGCGATGCAGACCACCTAGAAAAAGCGCGCGCCAGCGCCATAGTACCCCGGCTCGGTGGTACGGAAGTCTGCGTTAGGAACTATTCGACAGCACTAGGGAAATGCTATAAATTAAAGAAAACGAGAGTTCATGATGAGGAACACGCTTTTATTATAAAAGCGACACGTTCATGGCGAGTGGATGGACGTATTTACAAGAGCACGACGATGCTTTTCAGAGACTGATGACATAATTTAACAGTTCGTGAAACAACTCGCCATATGGTGCAGTTTGATGAAGATATTTACAGATGAGACGATCCCGTGGGCACTCGGGTTGGGTTGGATGAGGGTGAGCCTTCGATGGAAATGAAGTGGATGATGTAGTTCGTTGAGCGCCTTACGCGCTTCAGCACTGCGCTCTTGATGGGCGTGAGGGATGGGCTCGATGACTTCATGCGGTAGCCACAGGTTGGGTGATCGGAAGAATGACGGCGGGGCTTACTTCTTCGCTGCAGCTTTCTTTGGCGTTGCCTTCTTCGCAACCTTAGGCTTCTTGGGAGACTTCGCCTTCTTCGGGGACTTTGGCTTCTTCGCAACCTTGGGCTTGGCCGCGGCTGTCTTCTTGGGCTTCGCAACCTTCGGCTTGGCCGCCTTCTTAACGGGGGACTTTGCAGTCTTGGGCTTTGCCACCTTCTTGGGTTTCGCAGCCCCTCCGGCAGCCTTCTTTGGTCCTCGCTTTGCACCTGCAGCTTTCTTGGGGGCGGTCGCCTTCTCGGCCAGGCGGAAGGAGCCGGACGCCCCAGTGCCCTTGGAACGCTTGAGCACGCCTGACTGGACGGCACGCTTAAGAGCAAGCTTGAGATGAGTGTTGACTACCTTGCTGTCCTTGCCGACGTCGTAGTGGCTCATGATGTACTTGTGGATGGCCTGGCGGGAAGATCCACCGCGCTCCTTGAGGGCCTCGATAGACTTCTTGACCATCTCGGTGTACTTAGGGTGGTTGACGGGCTTCTTCGCCTTCTTGGCGCCTCCAGCAGATTTGCGGCCCTTGGCCTTGGGCGTCGCAGCAACGGCGGGCTTGACCTCAGCGTCAGACATAGCGGGAACTGGAAGGGACTCCGTAGCTGGAACTTCACGAACAGGCGAGCTAGCGAGCGAGCGGAGGAGCAGACGTCCGAACTGGATGCGAGCCGAAAGAGCGAATGATCCAAAAAGCGGAGAGCAGCCGCTTATATACAGGGGGCGCGGACGTCACGGAAGGCTACAACAATATCTCGCGCGGGTGAGCGCCGCGAATGTGGCGGCTCTAGTTCGAGATTGTGTTTGTTATGCACAAAAAACGACTGGTAGCACATTTTAACGACGCCGCGCGATTATCAAAACTAAACGGCGTTGTAGTGGGGGCTTTCAACGAGCACCGTACAATTTTTCCCTGTGGTGCGCAGCCGTGAAGTTTGTAAAACGAGAGTTTTTCGGCACGCCGGTGTTAACGAGATTGCGCTAGTTCTGTGATTCGAATGTCGCTGTTCGCACCCCGTTGTGTCGGAGCTGCTGACAATTGTCTAGAAATAAAATTCAATCATCCTTCCACGTACTTTGACCATTTTTCTCGTGTTGTACAGCGCGAATCGAGCGTGAGCGGCTCCAGAAAATAGCCGGGGAAGCACAAGTTTGCTCTGACCCGCCATGTTGACAGCTTGGCTCGCAGCTGGCGACGTTCGGATTTTTCATATTTTCGGCAATTAATCGGTTGATTTACACCCGAAAAATTGCAACGAAGCTCGGGGCGGTATCGTAGTAAATTTTGACACCAGTTTTATTGAGTTTTAGGAAGATTTAGGTGAGCGGCGAACAAAAAATGAGACCGGCTTCCCCGGAGTCGTTTTCTCGATTTGTGACGTAGTGCCTCGCAGAGACGAGAATCGTGTTTGCGCGATCACGAATTTTGAGAATTTTTTTCATCAGTTTGAAGCGCACTTTACGTCAAAATGGCACGTGTAATCGGTGTAACACTTCTTTTGCGTTCTTGTACTAAGTTTGAGTCTCTGAAACGCTCTTTAGAGCGAGAAAATCTTGCTCGTAGAGCCGCATCCCATGGATTGCTACGGCGCAAATCTGAACGCCCTCACTTTTGGTCACTTTTGGGCATCCAAGGAACCGTGCTTTTATGACACCATATAATGTGGGGAAAATTTTATTTTTGAGTGGATCTTGCCATGGGGGACTCCTGCGATGCGCTTGCGACCAAAATTAAAGGTTTTTGCGCGCTGCGCAATGCAGTTTGACAGCTCCCATTCGCTCCGTAGCAAACAGCTGGAGGAATCGGGCACCCGTTTGGCGCCAGTTACTAGGCGGTCATCAGTAGTGGGTTTGGCATTTTTATGATTTGATTACAGCCCAAATTAGACTAGTTCACTGTTAGTATTGGATTGGCATTGCATGCGAGCTACAGACATTCGCGCGGACAACTGATGAGGAGTGTTTGCATTTTGTTTCGCTTACGAATTCGCAATGTTTTGCCAATGGCCTCCCCGCTAAAATACTTCCGGTCGCTTTTCGGATGCTGTCCGCTCATAAGCTGCACTGTTAGCGAAACGGCAAAGAGCTGCAATTCAATTCACAATTTATTGATTTTTCGTTCTATTCTGAGATGCGCCGAAATGATGTACCGAGATATCGCCCGTCAGCTTGGCTGGCTATAGGGCACACATCAATATCTGGCGTGAAATGTTTTGGCGATCGCAAAGTATGAAAGACGAAACGTATTTAGTGGGCAACAACCCGAATTTTTCGCGAGAAAACTTAACTTCATCGCGCGCATTCGGTATATTACCGTTGCACATAGCGACGTGGCGACGAATCTGACAAATGGTGTTGCTTTGCCCTGTCATACATAGAGACGGTGTATTCTCTGTTTTTAAGGACCTATATTCAATGCGGCTGGCAAACAAATAATAGTTGACATAGGTCGCATAGGCTTCTTTAACTTCAAGCGGAGCAGTCCCTCTGCGCTGGGTGAATCCCTATACGTGTTATTGTTGAATCTCACATTGCACGTACCAAGTCGAAACAATTTAGCCAGAGGCCCCGCTGCTTCGAGCGGATGTCCATTCAGCTCAAGATGTTCGATGAGAGGGCAAGCCTGTATATACCAAAATTTCAATTTTTATAAGCACCCTTAGATGGCGATGAATACATTCCCGTGATACCATCCTTGTGTGGTGGACTGTTCGTGCGTGTGTTTGCCCGAGCGTGCGTTTGTTCGTGTGTGTTCTGTGTATATGTGCGATTGTGTGTGGGTACATGTGTGTATGTATGCGTGTGTTCGTGCAGACCTATGTCTATGATTGTGCATGTGTGACCTGTGTTCGTGCATGCTTCTATGTACGTTTGTGATTATGTGTGTGTGTGGCTGTGCACGTTTATGGTTCATCAAAGAAGCAGTGAGTTATTAATTAGTAGCCCATTCCGTGGCCTAACGTATACTTTCCGGAAGTATCTGACTGCCATTTTTGGTTATGGTGTAAAAAAACATGCCCAACCAATGTTTATGCGATATGCGGATCGAATGCATTCATTTTGACCGCACTAAGGCTGACAAAACTTGCACGTATAATCGGGCGCCAAATCGCCGCATTCCATATACGTAACTAAGGCTTACACGCAAATTTGCTGCCTCTCTCCCCTTTTTCACTTGACACCAGATTAACACCACATGTACGCATGCTGCAGATATTGTAAAGAATTAAACCATTACAATCTGTAGCGTAACCACGTCTCGTCGTGGTGGTCTAGTTACTAACCCGCTGGTCACGGGATCGAATCCCGGCTGCGGCGGCTGCATTGTCGATGGAGGCGAGGAAGCCCTTCACTACAGCGTATCTCACACTAATATGCTGGTTTTGCGATCCGTTAAACCCCACATATTAATCAATCAATAAACCCTAGTAACCATCACCTTTTCAAAGGTAGCTTGTATAGGTAAATCAAGTGCTGCGCAGATGCCTGCACTGGCGAGACAAGGACGATTGCAATATTTTGTGTTGCAGAAGCAGATTAACGCTAATACCTCTTCACGAAATTTAATTATTACTGTCGCTGTTATTCTCCGTTCGAATGGGTGACTAGGCATTCCGTCTCGTTAATATTCCAATAATTAGTTCAAACGCGCACTTATAAAATTTTGTTGCAACCTTTCCAACACTACCATTGTACTATATTTCTACTATACAATTGCAACTATCCGTGTGCTCTATGTACCTTTTATGGATTGTGTGACGTATATCGCTAATTGATACGTGGGCACGTCGGAACACATGCCCACGTATGTGCAGATATGGAATAATGCTAGAATTACGTTACATTTTTCGTACGTATTATTTACACGACGTAAGCGCAGAGCTAACCGCCATAAATCTGTTTGTTGCTGTTTCCCTCTGAACGAAAGCACTCTGCCTTCTTTCACACTTTATTCGCTTGGCAAAATGCATATCTGTAATGCATCCCAGCTACTTACGACGAAGAAATGTGAATGAAAGTGGTTGTCACTTTATTTCAGTTTTTCTTTTTTTGACACACATTTCTTCAAGCCAAAACAGTTGAAGGCTTCGTCATCAAGAGCCACGAACCAATACATTTGCTTTGGAACAGTGACAAGAATAATGACTTTATTTATTTATCTATTTTACAACACAGCACGGCGAGAAAAAACAGTTTGAGTACGAATTAACATCGCGAATATGCACGTTCAACTACTTCGCACCGTGACGCAATAGGAATGAACCGTAAGAAGGACAAGAACACGCTGACAAGAAAAGAAAAAAATGTATAGCAATGCAGATTTATGCAATACAGATCTCAATAATAGGAATACATAGATCTATGAATTCCTAGTTCCGCGACATCATGTGCAAGCGATATTTGACATAAATGCAGGTCATTATACTGCCGGTAATTCGCGTAAGTGAATAATGCAGCTATCATCGACCGACGGAGCCAACGCCCGCGATCGCAGTGTAGAAGGTCCGATTCACCCCAAACGGGCTCAAACAGAATACGACACACCACCCCTGTGTAGTGGAGGGAGCCTACAGACCCTGCAGAAACGTGTTCAGCGTATCTGGAAGACGCCAAAGCGAACAGGCACAATTAAATGTGTCAAAAGCTGATGAAGTACGGCGTGCATTCCGACGAGTTAATTATTTCGGTTGCAGTAACACCTACAGCTACAAGACCAAAAGGCAAGAATAGTGTGCTTGCTTGTTCAAGTGCTCATCTTCGAAAGCATCCATAAGTGCACGACAGAGAATGCTCCCAATCACCGAGATTACACTCACTGGTTCGAGAAGCTTCGACACCATATCGCGTAGGCAGCTTCAGTGACACCGGTGTCGATTTCTTGTCTTCCGCGCGCTATTTCGTTGCGCTACGCTGCGAATTGTGAACCAGACTGTGAAAATACACCGTTCCTAGCTTCGATAAAAATTTCATCGCGTAAATCGACCGATAAATCGCGGTAGAGGCGAAAAAAGCGAGCGCCCCGAGTCAACGCCGAGCTCGCGAAGATGGCCGTTCGCGGCAAAATTGTGTGTTTCCCGAGGAACGTTTTCTCGCTCGCAACGCTCGGCCCTCGGCGTCTCACTCCGAACCGACACTGAAGATAGGTCGAGGGAACATCATGCTTTACTTTTCGACGCATGTGAGCTGCTAGGTCAGGACGGGGCCCGAATTCCAAGGTCCGAAGCGCGAGCAAGGCGGGGTCAGTGGGCTGTGACACGGGAGAAAAATCGCGTTTTGGCAAACTCCCCGAGGTGGCAGCCAAAGTAAACTTGGCATAAGCGCAAACGAACTCGTGAGGGTTAAGCAGCATAAGTTTTTTGGCTACGGTAACGTGACTTTGAAGCGCGAGCGGCGATTTATTGCGACCAGGGAAGCACAATCGAGAGGCGGGGCGGCACGGCGTCAGCCGCCCGCGCCCCTGCGCAACCCGTTCGGTTTATTCGTAATTACGAATAGATAAAAAACATTTACGTATTTGGTGATGGCAAGTGAACGTGAATTGACGTATTGTTGGCAGGAGTGCATGTTATGTATCCTGTACAGAACGAATGCTGAATTGAAACAACCGCATATCGATCACATACCGACATACGTGCAGGTTTACGTTGGTAAGTGCGAGTGAAAATTGGTCACTCGCTTTTTTC